TTTTATTCCTTTCCAGGTGTTTTTAATATTGTTCAAATTATTGTTAAAATAAGGAATAAAGTATGTTTTTTTGCTAAATTTTAATAAATCAGAAATTCTGTTTCTATAAAATTTAAATTTTGCAAATAATTAATTTTTCTTATCAATATTTTTTGATTTTATAAACTTTTTATAAAGTTTGTTTTTATCTGAAATAGATTTAAGTATTCCATACATAATCCAAGGTTTTGATTTTTAATTTGTTGGTTGGTTAGTCATTTGTTAGGAGCATGTCTAAGATTTCATCAAATGTTTTAAAAAAAAATTCATAGATTTATTAACATGATCATCTTTTTTAATGGAGAGTTCCCAGTTGATATCAGAAATTTCTTCAATAAACATTGTTTTATTAAACCTTTTGAAGCATCATAAGTTTTTACTTTTTTGGGGTGGTAAGGTATGCCAGAAATGCAAATAAATTGTGCCATGTGGTCTGAAATTGAAATCATAATGTTACCTGAGAATTGATCACTTGAGTGAAAGTTTGTGAATATTTTATCAATGAGCGTTTTTGATGTAGCCGTTATGCAAGATGGTAAAGTTATAGAAGGGCTTAGTGAGTAAGATATTAAAGAATCTAGATATGTAGAAACAGGGTTAGGTTCATTGTGACTAAATAGATCCATATTAAAATCACCCAATAGAAAAATCTTTTTTTTTTCATTACTTAACTTTTTAAGTAGAGGAGTTAAGTGGGAAGAAGTAAATTCATGTTAATTGATTCAGGGATGATAATAAATGCAGCCAATTATTATATTCGATTTACAAGGTTTTAAAATTTCAACAAAAATAGACTCTAAATATTTAGAAGAGTAAATCATAAAATCATTGTGAACTACGTAGTTTAAATTTGAGTGTAAGTATAAAAGTGTTGCACCTTTTTTAGCCTTAGTAGGACAATGCTTAATATTAAAATCATTTATGTATTTATCAGTTATATTTATATCGTTTATATATAAATCAGATTCCGTAATACCTATTGCTAAAGGAAAATTATTAAGAGAGCTGATAAGACTATAGAGTTTGTCAATGTGGAATGGTAGAGAAGTGATGTTAAGATGAATATATAGTTCTAAATTGGGAGGCATAGTTTTATTCAGATCAATGATGTCATAGTATTTGTAGTTAAAAGAACTGGGAAATTTATTTAGATCTTTAAAGACTTTTTTTATGATTAGTTGGAGTCTTGAAAGAATTTAACAAACTAGTAGATATATTCTTGCATAATAATGTTGATTTAAGCTCCAAGTTGGAAATCGAGCTAAACTGTTGTATAAGTGGGTACTATAAATAAGTGCAATTATATTGTTATATATAGCAATATGTGCTATAAATAAGTGCAACTATATTGTTATATAAGTGGGTACTATAAATAAGTGCAACTATATTGTTATATATAACAATATGTGCTATAAAAAAGTGCAACTATATTGTTATATAAGTGGGTACTATAAATAAGTACAACTATATTGTTATATAAGTGGGTGCTTTAAAATAACTCAAAGGCCATACTCTTAGATAAACAGCTATGACAATACAAATGTGACAAATCATTCAAAAGAAGGTTATAAGATTGTGCATTGATATGGTTACACTTTGCATGGACCCATGAGTTATAAAGATCACATTGAATGGTTCTTTAATTGTCAGTTATATTTTCAAGACATTGTTGCACCGATATTTAAAGGCCATAATCTTTAATATATGTATATATGTACCTGCAGTATTAACTAGTTTAAGTGACTAAAGTATGAAATAGAGATTTAAATAAAAATGCAAAGTAAAATACTCAATTTATTAATTTAAAACTTGGATAACCCTTGGCAAGAGTAATCGAAAAATTTTTTCATTATTTTTAATATAAAGAAAGAAGAACAATGATAGAAAAAATGAGTAACACTAAAGGTAACTAAAAGCTAATAGTTTAAAATTAAACAATCAAAATAAATTAAACTTTGACAAACCGCGAACTAACATTAGCAGTAACTAAGACAACCAAAAATATTGAATATAAAAAAACTATTAATACTATAATAATATATCTATACTATATTAATAATATTTAAAAATTTAATATTAAAAATATATGTAATAAATAAAATAACTAGGTATCAAACTAGGACTAAAAATAAATACAATTAACTATAAAAAATATATATATCGGGTGATTCATAAATAATGATACCTTTTTGTATTGATTAATTTTAGCCTCTGTAGTACAAAGTATGAACGGCACATGGTCTTTAAAGATAGAGAATTTTGTGCTGAATAACGTACCATTCTCATTTTTTTTCTGCGCGCATGCAAGTGAATCAGCAACAATGAAAAGTCAACACTTGCAAAATGTTGTAATTTCTAAGTATAAAAATGGTGATGGTCCAACTAAAATTTTTCGTGATTTGAGTAGCATTCTTAGCTTACCAACAATTAAAAGATGGTGCAAAATGATTGCCAAAGATGGTACAATTAAACTTTCAAAACCTCCTGGTCTTCCTCGCACAACTCGAACAAAAGCAACTATCCAAAAAATAAAAACCCGTCTGAAATGGAAGAAAAAGCCAATTTCTACACGAAAATTGGCAAACAAACTTGATATTTCTCAACCAAGTGTTTATTGTGTTCTTAAAGATGATCTTCAGCTTCGATCCTACAAAAAAGTTGTCCAACCACTATTATCCAATGACCACAAAGAAAAGAGAGTTAAATTTGCAAATTGGATTCGTAACAATTATAGAAAAGCTGATACGATGTAAATCCTTTTTTCTGAAGAAAATTTTTTTGATATTGATGGTATTTATAACTCTCAAAATGACAAAATATGGGCTTTAAATCGTGTTGAAGTTGATAGCATCGGAGGAATCAAGCAGCAAAGTAAATTTCCTGAACGTGTTATGGTTTGGTTAGGAGTTTGTTCAAAAGGTGTATCACCATTAGTTATTTTTGAAAAGGGTACCGTTAACCATGAAAGGTATATTGAAGAAGTTTTATCAGTTGCCAAAAAATATGGCAATAAAGTATTTGGTGAAAACTGGATATTTCAGCAGGATGGTGCACAAGCACATACATACCGATTGACACAACAATGGTGTCAGGACAATTTTCCTGATTTTATTCTTAAAGAACGTTGGCCTCCAAATAGCCCAGATTTGAACCCATTAGACTTTTCTATCTGGGAGGAATTTAACCATGCTATTGATTGGTGTCAAGTAATCTCAAAAAAAAAAAGTTAATCGGTGAGTTAAAACGTGCAGTAAAGAGAATTAGATTTGAAATTGTCTGAGAAAGTTGTAATTCTTTTTCAATTCGATTAAATCATGTTTGTGAGAATGGTGGAAACTATTATTCAAAATAAAAAGACATTATCTTATAGAAAAAAATTTTCTCTATCTTTTGAATCTATTTTGAATGTTAGTAAGTTAATATCTTAGTAAAAAAAAACTGAAAAATAAATGGAATCATTATTTATGAATCACCCGATATTATGTGAGAAAACAAATAATAATATAATGACTAAAAAATAATTATAACTAATAAATTAAAAATAATAATAACTAATGATTATAATCATGATTGCAAGTTATATCGTAAAGAAAAAAGAATTATTAAAAAAAAATAAAAAAAACAACAACCAATCTCCTAGCTCTACATTTGCTTTTTCTTTCTTTTTCAAGAAAGTTTACCTTTTTTTTTTTTTTTTTAAGTTTAAAATGTTTTTGCAAAAAAAGTTCCAAGAAAAAGAGTGACATTCTAATAATATAAAATTTAAAAGTTTTTAATACACAATACAATCGTTGTAAAACTCTTTGTAAAAAGAAAGTTGGAAAGGGGAAGTATCTTTTTCATAAATGGTATTTCCTAAACTAATGTTAAGTACAGAACTGATAGCATTTATATAAATAATTAACACAAGCAAACCTAATACAACTTTTTGATGTATTCCAATTGTTATGCCACAAAGTTTCTAATAACCACACACTTTATTCAATTGAGCAGAAATAATTTTATCAAACATAGTATTTAGAATATAATTATGTAAAATTAGATATCCAGCAAATTTTAAACGAATGAGATTTTAGACTTGAGAATCAGACTGAGTTCATATAGTCTTTGTTCTGATGAATCAATTAATTATATTTTCCCAAAAATAAATATTTTTTTTTTCAAAAATAAATATATATATATATATATATATTTATATATATATATATTTATATATATATATATATATATATATATATATATATATATACATATATATAGACAATAAATATATGTATATATATATATATAGACATGTATATATATATATATAAATTAGTAGAAAATCACTTAGCAAAATTATATATATATATATATATATATGCATATATATATATATATATATATATATATATATATATATATATATATATATATATATATATATATATATATATATATATATATATATATATATATATATAGCCAATAATTGACTTATACACATATCATAAAAAATACCAAATAATAATTTAACAATAAATTTTTTTAAATTTTCTTACTTCAACTTATACCTAGCTTTCTAATTTGTAACAAAACAGTGACTTTAAAATTGTATTTGACTTGTACCTGGTATCGACTTATATGCAAACATATACGGTATTTATATGTGTGTGTGTTTGTGTGTGTGTGTGTGTGTGTGTGTATATATATATATATATATATATATATATATATATATATATATATATATATATATATATATATATATATATATATATATATATATATATATATATATGTATATATATATATATATATATAAATAAATACATATATATATATATATATATATATATATATATACATATATATATATATATATATATATATATATATATATATATATATATATATATATATATATATATATATATATATATATATATATATATATGTAAGCATGTATTTCTTTTTTGTAGAAACATCAAAATGGCACAAACTAATACATATGCAAAGAAACATGAAAACATTCTTTATAGCCAAGAGTTTAAGTTATATTTTAGTGAAAGCGTTGGAGTAGATTGGAGAACACTTGGTCGTAGATTAAATATTGAAGACAACTATTTAGACATGATTGATAAAGATAATAATAAAACTGAGGATAAAGCTTATTCTATGTTCACTACTTGGACGCGAATGAATGATAATCCAACACTTGAGGAGTTAAAAACAGCTTTAAGAAACATGAAGAGAATAGATTTAATAAGAAAAATTGATGAGTTTACAAGTAATTATGTTTTAGTTAGTAATAATTAATAATAAGTATTTTATTTTGTGGAATTGACATTTTTTACATTAGAAATTATTATTCAATATTAAAGACTATAATATTTTATTTCCATGTGATGTTCCTTGACAGTTGAATTGCAAACTATTTGAATAATGCTAAATTAAGTTGGCTATAGTGTAATCTTTGGCCTTAATCTTTAAAAAAAAAAGGTTTTATAAAAAACTTAACAGTGTTTTTATGGTGTTTTGTAAATTATGAAGATATGGTCATTTTTCTTAAAATATTTTTTAATAAAACATTTAAAACTTTTTAATAAAGTTTATCTGGTTTAAAGGTTGGTGCATGTTCATAAGAAGTTTTTTGTTTTAAGTAACTAAGAAAGGATGTATTAGATCACAAAAAGTTGTAAAGAAACAGTTCTAATGTAAAAGAATGACGTAAAATTTTATGTCGTAAGAAAGTATGTTTGGCGTAAAATTTTATTATAAGTTTGTAAATAGTGTTTCTCTTGACAACTTTTTATCTTGGCTTTTACATTTTTTTGAAACCTAATTTTTTATTATAAGATTATGAATAATGGAAGGTCTTTTTCTGAGTCATTTGCAAGTGAAAGTCCCCCTGAATATTTAGATGTTTATTGTTGCCATACAAATTGTTCTTTTTTGTATTTTACATTCAAAAAGTTAGTTAAACAATGAATAAATGAATTTTGTCTAAAGTAAAAAAAACATACATTCTGCTCCTTTAAAAAAAAATGAGAGCCCTGAGTCACTGGATTTTTGCGGCTTCACTAAAAAGCAGCAGATTCGCGGATCGGGCTTGGCTCCACAAGCTTGTATATATGTATGCGCTTTACTTAAAAAATATAAACTAAGAAAAAATGGTATAAGAAATCTGAATGTGAAGAGATGTGTTTCATTCAAAAACAATAGAAAGGTTTATTAAAAGAATTGTTTACTTTATTTACTTATCATTTTAAAGACTTTATCTTTATTTTTGGTTTCAACAATTAAATGTAAAAAAATGTTAAAACAAAACATTTAATGTAAAAAAATGTTAAAACAAAACATTTAATGTAAAAAAATGTTAAAACAAAACATTTAATGTAAAAAAATGTTAAAACAAAACATTTAATGTAAAAAAATGTTAAAACAAAACATTTAATGTATAAAAATGTTAAAGCAAAACATTTAATGTAAAAAAATGTTAAAACAAAACATTTAACGATTTAAAAAGTTGAATAATCTTTTTTTTTTTACTTTGTATAAAAATTATTTTGAAATAAGTTAAAAAAATGTGGTGTTTTTTCAACTTGTTTTTCAACTTGTTTTTCTGTGCAGCAGCCTTATTTGTCAAGGTTTATGTTTTGGAGTACAGATTATAGGGTTGAAACCACAATTAATGTAGCCTCCTCAAATCTAGTGGCCTTTATGGCCTTGGGGAACTATACTAGCATAAAATTAAAAAAGTAAAAAACAGGTTTGGTCAAAAAATGGGTGCGATTGCACTCTCTTCCAAACCACACAAATTATAATTATTTGCTATAAATTGGCCACTGCTTTTTAGATGTTTAAAGAACGTACAATTTTATGTATATTTCCATGTATGTATGAAACGTTTTGCCATACTGAAATAACTAAATTTGTAAAAAATCTTTTTCAATCAAATGTTTTTATATTAGCAAAACTAAGTAATGATTTACTTTTATTGATCGTTTATAAAAAGAAAGTGTTCAGTTTTATTTTTTAAATTATATAAAGTTAAGTAGATTTTATTAAAAATTATAACTAATTATATATATAAAAATATAGATTAATTTTTTATTCTTTAAATGTAAATCTATGACAAATATTTGTACAACTGATTTTCTACTTATAACTACCATTAATAAACCAGCGGATTTTTATTGACTTGTTTACTTATAGATCATTATTTTATCATTTGCTAAAGATGTGAGTTATGGTTCCTCTCTTCCTGAGTTACTAACTTTTTCTCCTTCTACTAAATAGTCTGTACATTAATTTATCTTTTTTTACCTAAATGACATCATCTTCAATCTGTTTTTATTTTCACATCTCCCAGGTCTACCTAACTGGGCGGCTAAGTTGGTCACTTTTTGCAATCATTGTGTCGCATAAGCAAAAAAAATTATTCTTTGTTGCTGGTGAGCCCTGACTTTTTCCAATGTACACCACAACGACAAAACAGACATTAGGCTATCCTGCTGAATGTGGTTACGGAGATCAATACCCTAATGACTACGCTGACACATGTTTATGCACACGTTCAGTCAGAAGCTCCACAATGCATTTCGGATCAGCGCTCGCTGATTATGTGCTTGGATCTGAAATCTCACTTCATAGCACATCATTCCACACAAGCATGGGGCAATTTGGCTAAGAGTGATGACTTGTGGCCTACGGTGACTAATGTGTGCATTTAATTGATTGAAATCTATTCTGTATGTCTGACTCTGATGTGCTAACCCATAAGCACAAGAAGTGAGTGTGTTTAGCTTTCTATTCACCTGATTTGAAAGTGGAACATGGAACGAAAACATAACAAGACCATACTAGACGACAAAACGGTATGTACTAATGCACTACACCATCACACCTGTAGACATTAACAGCCTCTAAAATCAGTATATCAAATATTTGTTCTTTGTTACATGATCTAAACACAGAGTGACTAGAGTGTTAGTTGGTTCTCCCTTTGCCCCCCAAGCATTTAACTTCGTTTTTCACCTTCACAAAGTCTTATCACTCATTTATATTTTTTTATGATTTTTATTTTTTATTCAATGACACCATCTTCTAACTGTTTTTATTGTCACATCTCTCAGGTCTACGAAACTGGAAGGATCCGTTGGTCACTTTTTGCGATCATTGTGTTGCATAAACAAGAGGGAAAAAAAAATGATAATAAAAATAATTATATAACTAATTATATATATAAAAATATAGATTAATTTTTTATTCTTTAAATGTAAATCTATGAAAAATATTTGTACGATTGATTTTCTAAAAATAAAACTTTCAACAACTGCATTTTCAATAAAATTTAAAAAATAATAATCATCAAAGTTACAAATATATAAATATATAAAAAAGCCCACATATATAAAATACACAAACATACAAATATATAAAAAAGCCCACTCTCTAAACTTCTTCAGCGGTATTATAAAGCAGTTTTGCTTCCTCTTCATAAATATATTTTATTTTTTTAGTTTAACCATAAAAGATTTAAATAATTTGATGCAATAAAAACATGCTTCAAATATAAAAACATTTTATAGTTCTTAGTTTATAATAAACTGTTATAAAATACTTAGATTAAGATGAAAGTGATAAAAAAAATTTGTGATAAAAAATAATATTAAAATTTTAGTTTTTTGAGTTATTTTAATTTTTGTGTTTTTTTATTTACTCTATTGTTAAGATTTTCTTTCTTAGTTTAAATTCAGATGTTTTTTATTTGTTAAATCTAGATTAGTTTTTTCAGCGCTTTTTCAGTTTTTTGAAATGTTAAAAATTTCAAAAGATATTAACAGCCATGTAGTTGCCAAAAAAAAGAAGTTATTTTTCAACAAAAAAGCAGTTTTTTTGTTTTTTGATTTTGATATCTCTCTTTAAGACAATGCTTAGCTGTTTGCTTAACACTTTTCGCCAATCTCATTTCTTGTTTCCTCTAATCACATGATATAGCTGACTAACAGGGTAATCCATTGTTTGACGTTCGTATCCCTTTAGCTTCTGTATCTGTAAAGTGATTTCCTGTTTAGACTTTTCTACAATTTGTGGTCTGGACAACATACCTGTTATTGTCTGGCAAAACTGTTCTCCGGAGTTTTTTTTTACACTTTTAAAACTGTTTAACAAATGCTTATCAGAGTCTTGTTTTCAAGCCTACATTTGTTGTCCCTATTTTTAAATTTCTAGAGAACACCCTGATTTGTCTAACTACTGTCCTATCATAAACAAGGCTTTTGAGTCTTTAATGTTCAAGCACTTAATCTCTCATCTTGAATCACTCTTCTACATTTCCTGTAACTTCAAGGGCTACTCAAGGATTTATTGTTGGCCCTATACTTTTTTTAATTTACATTAATTATCTCCCAGAAATTCTCACATCTAAGGTGGTGTTGTTCACTGATGATATTACCATTTATTTTTGTCTTGATAAGAGTTCAACACTCTCTGATTGCTTGCAGGGGGCAATATAAGCTTGAAAACGATCTTGCTTCTGCTACATTATGGAGCGCTCAGTGGCTGTTGAACATTGACTCAATTTTTTAAAAAAATTTTTGTCAATTTTTTTTGCCTTCAACATCAGTTATTTGGAATTCGATGTTAATTGTTGTTTTGCTTTATAGTTACCATAGTTATATTTAAAAATAATAATTACCAAGAAATTTTACAAAAGATTATGTTGTTTTATGGTTTAACTGATTAAGTTTAATGGGATAGGACTTTTTTGAATAATTTATTTAATATTTATAGTATTTAAATGAAAACTCCCCAGTTGCTGTTGATTTTAAAAACCCTGTCAATCAACCACTTACCTATAGTTGTAGTGTTGCATCTCTTTTCTACAAATACTATTATGGTCAAACAAATTACTCCAGTTATTTCAACCATAACTCACTTAACAACCACAACTCAACCATTCAACACAGTTGCAATTCTTACTTTTTTTTCTTCAGAAGTAAAGATGCTGCTTAAACTGAAACTCATTTCTTCATGTTTTAAAAACTTTTCTTCATGTTTTAAAAACTTTTCTTCCTTTTTATTTATCTAGATTCTTTCCTTGCACATCAATGCTTTCGAATTCTCTCCTACCTTAATTTTTTCCTGACTTTTAGAAAAATCAGTTTTTTAAGTCTTCTGTCAACCGTTTTCTTTCTCTTTAAAAATTTTCTTGTTTTATGGTCCCAACGTATGTAGTGGTTACTTGCAGATTTGTTGGATGCAAATTGATAAAAAAAAAATGTTTTTGAATTTGAAGTGTAAATCAAGGTTTGTGGCACTTCTATATGTTAAACATTTAAATTATTTTTCAAGTTGTCTACTACTATATATATATATATATATATATATATATATATATATATATATATATATATATATATATATATATATATATATATATATATATATATATATATATATATATATATATATATATATATATATATATATATATATATATATATATATATATATATATATATATATTATATATATATATATATATATATATATATATATATATATATATATATATATATATATATATATATATATATATATATACACATTTTTAGTTTTAGGCATGGACTAAAACCGCCATCAAAACACTATTGCCAACATGAATGTAAAACCATATATAAATGCTCTGAAATAAATGATATCGACCTTTAACTTTTTAATGCTCATTTTTATAATGCTATAAAAAATGTGACCAAGACAAATTCAAATTAAAATTTTTGTCTGTTCAGAAAAAACAACAATATAGAAAAAGAGAGCAAATTTATACTAAAAAAATTAGGAACAGGACTAATTGTGAAATTAGTTATTTTATGGAAAAAGAAAAAAGGCAAATAGTGCGTGTTTGCAAAGACACTTTTCTAAAATGCTTACATGTTGGTAAAACTCGTGTTCAAAGTATTGCAAAACATTTCTTTATGCATGGTAATCCTAGAAAAGAAAACAGAGGTGGTGATAAAAAAAAGCCAAAAATTCAAGGATAAGCGAAAGGCTGCGATAGAATTTGTAAAGAGTTATTTAAATAAAATTTTTATTGTCAATTAATATTTTGCTATTGCTAGTTAAAAAAAGATTTGCTAACAAGAACTATACATTGTTTTTTACATTTGTTATTTTATCCAGTTTTTGTGTTCCTTTGCTCAAAAAAAAATAAAATTAAAAAGTTTATAATAAAATTAAATCATTTAGAAACTTCGAGTTCACCAGAAAGTTCTACCAGAACTTCTTCTAAGAAAGGTAATTATGTTTGATTTATTTAAAATTACTCAACATTTACTTCTGAAATGTTTTGTGACACAAAACATTTTAAAAGTCAAGTACTTTGTTACAGAGTTGTAAAAATAATTTTTTTTTTTATTTTTTTATTTTTATGTTAATTGTTTTTCTCATGTTTTTTTGATTTAAAGAATTTTTTTTTTGTACTTTTAACTATAAAAGTTAAAACCCTAAAAATGTAACATTTTTTTTGATATATATATATATATATTTTTATGTTATCCTTTTTCAGTTGAATATTAACTTTTTTTATTATGCTTTACATGCTTAGTTTTGCTGCTTGTTTTTTTTTTGTTACAAATCAATAGTTCTCTTTACGTCTTTAAATTAAGAAAATGCTTTAAAAGCTATATAAAAATAATTTCTTTTTTGATTTACATTCATTAGAATTTTTCGAAAAAACAATCTTTGAGATTTCTTTTTTCTGGCAAGAAAATGTTTTCAATAAAATATTTAACTGTCAAAATAATCAAGTCTCCAAATTATGTTGATGCTGATAAAAATCATGGTATTAAATTATGGTTGGAAGTTTGTTCAGAAGACATGTTTTTGGTTGAATTAAATAATGACACAGTAAATCATCACAATATATTGATGAAGTTCTAGATGACAGAAAATAACTTATTTAGAGATGATTAGATGTTTTAGTAAGGTGGTTACCAAACCTCATACTTACAAACTTTCTCCGAAATTGTGTAACAATCATTTTTTTAGATTTATTGAAAAAAATCATTGCTCAACAAATTCTCCCAACCCTTTATAGACTACTTTATTAAAGACTAATTTGTTCTCCGAATTAACTGGAGAAAAAAATCCAAAAAAAATTTAAGTGCAGAGTTAAAGCTAGCTGTGAAACTAATTGGATCTAATTGGGAAAGAAGTTGCACTGGAAACTTGTAATAAAAAACATCAGAGATATTTTATATTAATAAACTAATTTTTTAAAGTAGTTTTCTAAGAAAAAATTTAAATGGTTAGAGTGAAAAACTTACTGGATTGAAAGCAAAATAAAAATATTTGGTTCTTTATGTGAACAAATTATGTGCATTTATACAAGTTAGTTTAGTTTGGTTACTTGTTCTATCATTGTTAATGATCATTAATTTTGTTTTATGTGTCAGTAGCTCATGTAAGTCCATATCATTGTTTGCTTTATAGCAATATTTTAAATATCCCAACTAATACGGTTTGAATAACACAATATTTCTGTATTCATATATCAAGTGTTACATTAATTGATTTTTCTTAGAAACTTAACTTTATGATAATAAAAAAAAAAATTGAATTAGTTATTTCAATTTTTTTAAAACTGAGTTTTTTACTTTAGTATGTTTTTAGTTTATATTGATGAACTACAGTTTTAAGAGGGGGTTGTATCAACAATGTTTAAAAATTTAAATTTAAAAAATTTATGTAGTGAATTTGTTTAAAAATAAATATAAATATTAGAAGAAAACACTGACTTTGCACACAAAGAGCATAACAGTAGATGTTCTTTGTTTTTAAATTACTAGAGATGTAATTACATGTAAAGTATAAGAATTATCTACAAATTTTATCGATTTCACAGTTTAAAACATGTGTGTTTAGGTCTTTTTGTTAAGTTTTTTAAATTTTTATTTTAAAAACCTTCACAAAATAACTTAAAAAAGATCTTAGCCAATGAACTAAACATGCAAGGTCATGTTTAGGATTCTTATTGAGTTTTTTAAGTGTTTTTTACATACATGTTTTAAAAAGTTTTAAACATATGCAAGCTTTCCTGGGAATCGTGTGCAGTCTCATGGTTTGTTTGTCCACGTTTAAAGTAATTTTTTTAGACAACTTGATGTTTTTATGTTAAAAAAGAAAAACCTAAATGTTTTACTGTTTTAGTTTTCTTTTTTTTTAGGGTGTTTGTTATTTTCCGCTACCAAAATTAATACATGTCGAGGAAAAAGCAGATAAAAATATAACAAAAATAAAAACATTCTTTGATATACAATTTATTTGTGGCTTTTGTTAGTCAGCATATTATGGAAATAATGACAAATTTAAAGAAATATGGACAAATTTAAAGTTTTTTTCAAAAATGTTTTTGCTAAACTTTACTGTTTTTATCGATGAAAGCAGGATAGCAAGAAAACTAAATGCTATTTATTTGTAGAAAATATTTTTTTAATTTTTTAACAAGTTTTTCATGTAAAAAAAAAAAAAAGTCATTAATTCTAATATTCAAATATAAAATATTTGGTTGTTTTCACTACCCCTATTGAAATAGTCTGCATTTTTGTTGGATTCTTCAAATTGTGCATTTAAACCCAATAGTTTTTTTTCTGATGAACTATTGTTATTAGGTTTGCTCCAAAAGGTTGTGGACTAGTCCTTTGTAGTTTACTGAACTTTTTTAACAAAAGTTTTAGAAGTTTTTTTTTAAATTTTGGTTTTTAAACACATTTTTTTAAACAAACAATCATGTTCATTATCTCTAGTATTTTGTATTTTAAATAATTTGGCAATATAAAGGAAACAATTTCAGACAGGCATCAAATGTGGTAAATACATTTATAAAAAAAAACATGCAATTCTTTTATTTAATTTTTTTAATTACAAAATTTATTATTCAAATAATAAAATTTCTTAATTATATGGGCTGATAAAAATCATGAATAAGTTGCATATCAAAATTTTCAATTGTTATTAAATTGTTATAAAATGTTTCTTTCCTCAACTTGTATAAGTTTCTTTTGCTAAAAATAACAACCACCCTAAAAAAATACAAAAGTTGTATAAAAATTTAGAGAAAAATGTTTTTTAAATTTTTTTATTTCAAATTTCTAAATATTTCTAGTGTATTTAATTTAAATTTAATATTTTGTTTCGAATTTGTTTACTTCTTTATTGTTGTTTTTTTTACTCAGTAAATAAGTTTAGCTTTTTAATGCAAATTATTAAATGCTAAAATATTAAATGACTAAAAAGTTAAAAGATGCAAACTGCCGTGGTCAATGTGTCTAAAAAAATTACTTTAATTGTGGACAAACAAGTTGTGCAACCATAGGCGCTTCCCGGGAAGACTTGCTTTCCCGTAAGGCTCTTCTTGTTTAAGAAGCGAGTGTTCCACCACTACACCACTACGCAATCAATATATTCAATACTGAAGTTCAAGAAAGCAAAGTCGCTAAAAATTAAGGAATGCAAATGCTAGTCTGCAAAACTGGTTAATGCCTAAATGGACATTGAATTGCAAAACATTACTTTAGCAAATCCATTTTACTTAACATAAAAAAAGCATTATTGAAACCTGTCTAAACCACACAAGTGTGGAAACATTTAAAAAAATCCTCTATTTATTCAAAATTTTATAGTTTTGCAAAAAAAAAAACTATAAATTAAATGCTATATCTTTTCTCAAATCCTCTTTATCTAATGATATTTTGACTGTTGCCATTTTGTTTTAAATGAGTCTCAAATATTGCAATCATTTTTGGTTTGTTTTTCATAAATGCTAACAGACATCTAAGGTCATCAATATAGAATGTTAATATATTTATATAAGCAAGACTTGAAGAGTTGCCTGTTTCTGACATAAGATAAATGTAGCTATTATTAATTACATTTAGTATGGATCCATTGCAAGAATTGCATTGTATTGTTTTGTAATTACTTGAAACAGATTTATGACATATGCCACAAGGTAAACTTGACATCCTATATAATATAGGGTCATTCCATATAAAATGAGCCAATTTTTTGAAAATTTCCTGAGTGGCTATCTCAGATTCTTTTGAAATTTGTAGATTTTGTGGTAAAAGAATTTCTCAAAAATTTCAACTCATCTTAAAACATTCTAAAATTAATTCAATTTAAAAATTAATGTCTTAGCTTATTTCGCGTTGTTTATTGTCTTTTTCACAAAAAGTCTATTTTTTAAATCCATATAAATAAAAAACCAACTATCTTAAATACTTAAAAATCAGTCTGATTGCAGTAATCTACCTCGACCTTTGAAGAAGAAAAAATAATTATTTTACAAAAGTAATTATTTTTGGCAATCTTGTACTTAAAAGTTATAAAAAAATATTTGAAGAAAAACTTCAATAATAATAAAGCAAATGAAATCAGAATACACAAGCAAATGTGAAAATTATGTTATTTTGTGAGAATATAGGTGGTAGTCATCATTAATGATAAGTTTTGTAATATTGGATTCAAAACTATAGAAGTTACACCCTCCTAAAAAAGCCAATCTTGAAATTTTAAAGTTAGATCCATTTAAGAATTGAGAATTAACCAATAAATGTAACACTTGATGTGTAAATTTAACACTCGAAATTTTTAAGAATGTATCTTCAAAATAAGAAGAATACAGAAAAGATACAGAAAAAAAAATTTGGGGATGTCTTTTAGCTGCTGTGATAACTTAAACTTTCTATCAAAGTAGGATTTTGGAAATTTTATCAGCCTTTTTGAATTTGTTAATATAGTCAATATCTTTATAATTGTTCATTTATTCTTTTTTAAACAAGAAATTTAAAAAATAAATTTTAAAATAAAAATATCGGTACATAAAGGCTTATATTTTTACAATATATGAATAAATTTGAAACTCAAAAAAAGCCAAGATATAAATCTCAATTACAATAAAAGAATGTTAAAAATAAAATTATAGATAATAAATCTTGCTTTCAAAATAGTAGTCTAAATCTTTTTGTTAAACATTTCAAAATTTAATGATATTTCTTCAAATTCTTGCTCAGAAATTTGACTTGCTGATTGACATTGTGCAACCAAACTATTTACTTTTGCTAAAACCTTTCAGAATTTCTAATGAATTTAATACCTGTTATATTTTCAGTACACCATTTAAACATTTTATTGACAGATAATATTTAGTTATTTTGAAGGCAAGTCCTTGCTAAAAGTTGTTTTATGGTCCCACCAATGCCATCACATGAACTTTTTACAGTGACAAAAAAATG